CGCTGAAGATGACGACTTCTTCGCCGACGTCGACCTTGACACGCTTGATGCCAACAGACACACTGTCAACCGCCATGTGAGAGTCAAGTCAAAGAAGCCACAGTCAAGTTCCAATCGGAACCCTGGGACGACCATCACCTTCACAGACAAGAATGCTCCATCATCACGCATTCCGAGACCGCTTCCGGCCATGTCCTCCCGCTCGAGGCTTGATCCCGTCTACGAATCCGGGGCTCCTCTGGCTCATCGCAACGGCCGTGCCGGGCCGCCGTCTGCCAGTAACCACCTTCTCCGGTCCAAGAGATCAGCTCCAGTGCTCCGAAGCGAGTACAGATCCAGCAGATCCTCCGCTCCCTTCCTCACTGCTGGAACTTCTAGCAAACACTCTCAGCCCACGACCAAGCCCACACCCAGCCACCTCCGCCGAGAGTCCGACCCTCGGTCACACTCACCCACGCCACGCTTACACTCGCGTCTGAGTCGAGGACCCGATACACCTAGAAGAGGCGGGAACAGAAAGGACATTGCACCGGCGTCACTTGTACAGGAAGCGACAACAAAACGCAAGTGTACGAAGCCGCATCGCAAACGCAACTTTGGTGATGGAACTGAGCTTGACTTGTTCGATGACTTGCCTACGTCTCTCCAAAAGGAAAGCGGCTTCCTGAAGGAGCCTTCTCAGCGTCCTCCAAACAAACTGCTTCGTCAAGTCAGCCAGAGCAAGCTTCCGCAGCCTCCCGAGCGAATGCTCACTCCTCAGCCACCTCCTACCCCAAGCAGGACACTTAAGCGAGAGAGCCTCCCAAGCTTCGCCCGTGATACCGCAGCGAGCCGGATTGCCAGAGAGCAGCGCCTGGGCGGACCTCGTTACCGTCATGATGGACCGCTGGCGCCAGTCAGTTCCAACTGGAAGACGCAGGTGGCTGCTGCTCGAACTCCGCAAAGCAGCCCGCAGGCCAACCGCAAAAGAGGCACAGGCCAGAAACCAAACCTGATCAAGCATACCAACGAATCCGTTTCGAGAAGTGAGTTGGTTACCACCTGATTCGAGAGTCTCCACTAACTGTGATCCTTGCAGCCGAGAAGGGCATGACCTACAACCCGGCCCTCCAGCGTTGGGAAGGCAACGACAGCGCCTTGGCTCTTTTCTCTACGACAATGGAGTCGAGCAAACGTCACGTCTCCAACCATGCGCACTCGGTACCCCAGCCACAAATTGCCCTCCACAAGCACAACAGCTCGATACCCTCGCTTCCAACTCCCACCTCTCTGGCCGCAAAGACTGGCTCCCCTCCTCGACCCGCTCTCATTGCACCAGTTGGCGGGCCTCGTGGAGTGCAGGTCGAGCGAGGCATGGTCTTTGACCCTCGCCGAATGTGCTGGCTGAGGCTCGATTCACGCGCCAGCGGTCCCTTTTCGCCAACCCCCTCCATCGGCGACGACGAAGATCCCTTTGCCGACATCGACGATTTGAAAGACGACGAGGACAAGGTTGAAATCGGTTCCGGTGGGCTGGTGCCCGGTGCTGGCGGGCCGGGCTCTGCGTCAACAACCATGGACAATCTCGTCAGCGAAGAGTTTGATCTTGGTCCAGCTTTTATTCGTCTTCAGCATGACGAAGAGGGCAACTGGCGCCGGCGAGTCGAGAAGTGGGTCGGCGGAGAAAGGGACCTGCAGAATGACGACTGGCGATGGGAGATCCGAAGCATGTCGGCGTCGGCTTCGGCGAGCTCCTTTGCTGAGACGGTAGGACCTAGATAGGGTCTTGTTGTTCTTACGACTCAGTGGCTGCTATGTCCTCTTTCGCACCTGAGCGACGCGTGAAAATTCGCGGAGCACCTGTTGAGGTTGGCAAACCTCGAGAAATGCAACAGCTGGCTCGGTTTTGGCAAATCTTGCTCAACCATCAGCACACCTTTCCATCAAGCCATGATTTTTGCATTCAAAATTCCTTCACCGCACTTTTTATACCACTCAAGTCATCGTTTGGAGGACCGGATTCAGATAGGTTATACCCAGGAATGGAGCCATAGGGCCTACTAGCGTGCCAGGCAACTACTATGTTGCCGTCACATGTTGGTAGGACATAACTTGGTCCCTTTTCCTTTTCCTCTTTTTCCCCTTTTTCATCGGTGTTTGATCACAAAAAATGTCAAACAAGCGAGCACATTCACGGCCTATCTACCTCACCACCTGTCGCCCTCGCTTCAGAGGTGCAGGTTTACGACGACTCTACGACATTGGCATGCTCTCCGCGGAGACGTGCCCTACATACCCCCCAATCACGGTCGCTTTGCTTGGAACGATCGCTTGGATACCACCAGACTGCATAAATTTCGAAAGACAAAGATTTTACGAGGTTACGGAACATTTTGATGACGGGACGGGTTGGCGCGTCTGCTACGGCGGCGTCCGCAAAACACTCTCAAAACGAGTGGGCTACGATGACGACGGGATGGATGGGAGGACTGCGATGATTGACCCGGGTTTGGATTCGCTTTCTCCTCTTGGTTTGCGACTGGGGTTTCTTTCTTCGTTAACCTGTGCATTCTTGCTCGGTCTTGTTTTCTTCTTTTCAAGTCTTGCGACTGCTAATAATTTTGCTTGGGTGGGCTGGCACTATACCAAGAATGAAGAAGAAAGACGGGAAAAGAAATTGGGAATTGTTTCTTGATTCGAAACGAGATCTCTTGTCACGGCCGTTGGGACGACGGATGGATGATATGCTTGGATGGCTGGATGAGTTTGCTCCTGCCGCTCTCAGCTCTTATGATGATGACACGGTTATGATGGGATCGTCTTTTTTTTTTTTTTTTTTTTTTTTTTTTTTTTTTTTTTTTTGGTCTCTCACCTCTCGCTCTTGTCGCTTTTGCGATCAGTCTCTCGTTTTTGCCTCGCGTCTGTTCTTGCTGCCTGCGTTTGGCGGAGGGGTGGAAAGTCAGTTGGACCACGCGTGCTCAGGTGTAGTTCTTCGTCACTGCATATGGTCCTTCCCTTTTGCCCAGCTTCACCAACACCCGCCTTGGGATTTTGGATCCTCTCTGTACGGATTTCTCTTTTCTTTCGTCATCTCCGTTGCCCAATCCTCTTGCCAAAGCGAGAGCGGACAACACGCGACCATTCCAGGCACCAAATCTCGGGCACTGGCGACTGACCCGAATGGATGGGCTTCAGTCACCCGATTGGATCAACAGCGGACGATGACGGACGGCTACCACAGCAGCAGCAGCAGCAGCAACAACAACAACAACAACAACAACATGCATGACGCACGACACATTCAATTCAGATATAGGATAGGATAGCCTAGCTAGCTCCTCAAAGCCTCTATCGACGGCCAGGGCTTGAGCACGTACTGCACACGCGACGTACGCCGCTCGCCCGCCTTCGGTCGCGGGCTTGAGTAAATCTATGACCACATTCAATCTATCCATTCATTTGCCGATTTTCCACGAAGAACAAGGTGCAGGGCCGGCTTGACTGTCGCAGGTGGCTGGGAGAGGTGTTGGTCTGGGTTGCAGGGCAGGTGGTGAGTGAGAAGGAGTCACATGGGCGCAATGCTATACGTACCCAGGTGTGCATACATACGCGCATGCATCTACCCGTTGTCTGTCAGTCTAGGTACCCGCCATCTTCAACCAAAACTACCTAGTTACTTACCACCAACCACACAACAACCGACCCTCGATCCTCCACACACTTGGCTTATCGCATCGCTCACACGCGACGAACACAGCGCACGACCTAAATATACATCAGCCAGCTTACTTCCCCATCCTTACTTGCCCCGTGCAAAATAAAACACACGCACCGACCAACCGACTGACCGACCGACGCGTCAACCAAGCAAACGCGTCGTCTCGCTGCTTGTGGTACTTTCGGACATGCAAGCACCAATCTACCTAGGTAATAACGACGTGGGGATTAAGGCAAGGTAGGGCAGGGAAGATGGATGAGTGAGGTAAGCTAGGTAAGCCAGGTAGGGTGGGTAGGGGAGGAAGAGGTAAGCCACGCTACAGCCAGCCGCCCGCCTACCGTACCGCTGCCACCGCACGTCTGTCCCAGCCACCTACTACTACTGCTGATGGATATGGTTGGATGGATGGATGGGGTGGGTGGGGTGGTTGTTTGAGGGACGTAAGGGTATGGATGTTAGGTGCGGCTTGAGAGAAAAGGAAAGATGGAGAGGAGGGGTGTGTGTGTGTGTGTGTGGTTATGGACTTGAGTCTTGCCATGCGAGTGGAGAGAGCAGTGTTGGCTGCGTAGCTTGCACTTCTTCTGGTATACCTACTTGCCTTGCCAACCCACATATCTCTTCCCTCCCTCCCTGTCCCTCTGTCGTCTACCTGGTCAATCCACTTAGCACTTGTACTATACCTCTTGACAATCCCAGTCCCCCATCCCTCCCACCACATCCCAACGCCACGCGCGCCACTCACTTCCTCCCTTACCTAGCGCCACGTCTGCCACGCGACTGCACTAGCCACGCACGCGGGTCCCTGGAATGCGCGCGCGCGCGCGCACGCGTCCTTCTTTGTTTGTCGCAGGGATCAATCAGCGCGGCTCGCGGCTGGGTAGGGTTGACGCGGGTGTGGATGGCTGGCTGGCTGGCCAGCACGCGTGTTGGATGGTTTGTTTGGAGGTGGTTCTAGATAACGGTGTACGAGGGTTGTTTTTTTTTTTTTTTTGTGCTTTTTTTTATTGCCTTTTGCGGTTTGGATGTGTCATCGCATTTTTTTTTTCTTTTTTAATCTCTTTGCCGTTTCACAGTATCTTAAATGTGCTCTCGTCCGGCTTCTATGTTGGTTTGCTTAATTAATCACTTCATTCACGTTCCCGCCACGCGTCCCTCACTCTCCCTTTTCCTTCAATTTTCTTGATTGTCATTGCGCTCACCAAAACACCAAATCCCAATCACATTCTCACACCACTTTCTCAGCCAGAATAAAGCGTATATAAAGCATTTTATTTACCCACTGGTAAGTGGCGATGACTTGTTCGGGTTGGTGGCGTAGTGGTAACGCACTCCCGCGGCATCAGTCGTTCCGCGGGTGAGTCCTAGGTTCAAGTCCTGGCCAACTTGCTTCCTTTCGCCATTTCCTTTTGCACTCGAGGAGGATTGGTGTAGTTTGGTAGCGAGGAGCCAGAAAGACAAGGTCGGCGCTAGTGTTGGTCGTGTGGGCCGGCCGTGTGGGCTCCTGTCGTTGTTGGGGAAAGAGTGGTAGGTTGATGGTGAGTTTTGCAACGAATGACTCTCGGAGAAAGGTGCAAAGGAAATTTTATTTTGTTTGGGAGCGTGGCGGGGTGGCTGGTGTTGGTCTGATTTGTTTTCTCTGTAGTCGATTTATTTGATTGAAAGGTCTCGCATTTTCCAAACACTTTTGTTCGGGTTGGAACGAGGCGCTGGCCATGGATGAAAGGCTTCTGAGTGCAGTGAGGAGAGGGAGAGACGAAGATGGAGGTGTCTTGTTGCGGTCCTCAGATTCTCTATTTCTCTAGGCGTGTGCTTGTTCCCACCAACCTTCCTCAAACAGACTGTGGTTTTCTGAGGGCTTCCACACGTCATTCAGAGACCACGCGCACTGGCAGTCTTCCTCTCACTTTTCACTCCCATCATCAATCCTCATCCAGGGTAAACAAAGTCAAGCCACGAAACAACCCACCACAACCCCTGAAGACACAATCCGCCACCCCTCGCAGCAGCACTTGATTCACAGACACGGCAGCTTTGAGTCACAGACGCCGCGCAAAAAGGCAACAGCACAGCATCGCGCAGCTTATCCGACTGCGCGGCCGTCCAACAAGTCGGTGTGCTGATGTCATACCACATGGTGCGGCTCTCTCAGCGGGTCTCCTGAGCGCCAAAGATAAGGCGAGGGAGACAGACAGGAGGCAGCTGCGTACGTAGGTTGCACGGACAGGAGACGTCAGTCGACGTTCCGACCCTTTCTGCGCGTGTGCTTTTCTCTACGGACGGACGCAAGCGGCCGTGGTGTGATGGACCCGGCTGGGTCTTTTGGTGGATCTGGTGGCCTGCTGTGGCGAGATAGGCGGGACTAAGGAGGTGAGGGTGACGGCAAGTGTTTCGTTTGTTGGTGGTCTGGGTGGGTGGGTGCTGCATTGGGTTTCTTCGAAAAAGTCGCTGTGAGGACTTCGGCTGACTTGACCCCTTGAAATACTTTCGGTCAGCGCGGTGTCTTTCTCTCTTGCCGTGCTTTTGGCTGGAGATTTCCTCCATTGCCAATTGATGAAGCGCCTTGACGCTGTCATTCTTCAAGCGAGGTTTCCAGCATCAGTCTTTGCTGCCGCCTTCGCGTTGCGCTGGTCTAGTTGAAGGAACTTTGCCACTCTGCCTCCAAAACCAATGCATACAAGGCTTCTTCACACCCCGAAGAGTAAGTACTGAGCGTAAATGCACGGTCAATACCCGTTTGGCGCCCTAGAGGGCCATGGCCCAGAGAAGCACTGGGAAGATGTATTGCTCAAATAGCCCTCGGAGACTGCGGCCTTGACTGCGAAGTCGGGAGGGGGCCTGGCAGAGAGATGACTCAAATCCAGCTGATCGTCAATTTTCAGATACTACTCTTTGCCTCGATTGTGATTTTCGTGTGTTAAATTGGAGAGATTTTACGTGATTTCTGGACACACGACAGAGGTTCGCGCATTGACTTGGCTGGAGACGAAAGACGGTAAAAATTTCCGGAGACTTCGCATTTTTGGAGGAATGCAACGGATTATACGTCGTGCTCTCATGCCGTTGAGCATCTTTCAAGAGCAACGAAGATCCTACTAAACGTGTCTTGGTCCTCAAGTTTTGTCGTCCTCTCTCAAAAATTTCCTGCCGAGCACTCGGTGCTCTCGAACATCGCCCAGACCGCCCACAGCACCAAGTACAGGCTTTCTCCCGCGGAGTCAAGTTTTTCGTCACCTGATTCTTCCACATCACCCGCAGTGCAGAGTTCACAAACCGTCGAAATTCAAACTCTAAGCGGCAGAAAGGCTACCACACTCAGGCACTCTTGGACCTCACATGTGACCGACCACAGCACATGCAAGAGACCAAATCACATTATCAAGTGCATGCGCTCATGTAATTATCCTCCCTCCTACATAAGAAGACATAAAGCCAGCACGCGCGCACGCAAGAAAACCCCGCGCGCAAGCTGCGAAGCGTATATAACTTTAACTCTCCTCACCTCTTCTCACATCCCTCCCTCCTTGCTCACTCTTCGGCAGAAAGACGTGCATTGTTCATGCTTACATCTCTTATACTGCACGGCGCGGGTTTTCGCCTTGCGTAACATGACTGTGTGTTTCTTTGCTGTGATTGGTCTTGTTATTTGAGTGCAGAGAGGGCGCCAGCGCTATAAAGAGGTGCTAATGATCACTGCAGGCTAGTGTCGTCGGTGTTGTTTGGCGAGTAAGCTTGGTGAGTTTGGCTCCTGCGATGTCATGTCGATATTCCATTCGTTGTTCTCTATAGCTATCACAAGGAGGCTTTCGTTTGCGGGGCCCCACATCCTCCCTCTTTTTCCCCTCTCCCCCGAACCATCAGCAAGCAATGTAGCCAAAAAAAAGCAATGACGACAGCAGATGATGGCCGTGATGATGCAAAGCGCAAGATGGAATGACGGTGACGATCCGGGGTCATGACGGTGGTCGGGATGGGGTGCTATGATGTATGATGTCTGCTGTGATGTGTGTGGTGCATGTGTGTGGTGGTGGGGTCCGGTGGGGTCGGTATGACGTCAATGACCACGGGCCGCCGCGGGCGGACTGAATGGCAAGGGAGATGCAGCACTCGAGGTACCTCGCGTGCTTGTGGAGGGCTCATTTTTTGGCGCGGGCGTGTGGATGCAGAGAGGATGGGAAGGGAGACGACGCCAGGTGAAACATTGATTATAGCTGGTGGTGGTAGTGATGCCGCCAAAGCCAGCGCGTGCGTGTAACAGCCAACGAAGGAACCATAGAGGAAAAGAAGCGTGGCAGTCGACAAGTCCAGTCGCTCCAGTCTCCTCACTATTATCGTCAGCCCGCCAGCCCTCCCTACCCACCTGACGGCAGATGAGCAGTCAATCGAATCCACCAGCTACACACCTACTCCTTCCTGCACACCTCTGCCACCACTCCACTGCAACCAATTTTGTACTAGCAGAGCAGCACGCACACACGAGAGGCGCGCTCGCTTTAACAGCTCTGTCCATTCATCTAGTTTCCATTTATCAGCTATTGCTTTTCTTCACTGCGTCTATATAGAGGTAGCAACCCGGCCGGCCAACAAGCCAACCGACCCACACACACCTCTCCTCTCTCATTCTAGTAAGAACACATGAAGTAGAAGAGCTAGCCAGTACAGCACAGCATGGTATAACATGACAAAGCAGCAGAGTGAGGATCGATAGGCCGTCGCATTTAAGCAGAGCAGAGCCGCACAGCATGACAAGCGAGCAAGGAAGCAAGTAGTAAGCAAGCAGCAGAGTATAAAGTAAGGTGAGGTAAGATGAGGTAGGAAGAGCAAGTGCCAAGGGCGCCGCCCACCACCAGCCCCAGCACCACCACCACGAGATGTGGAGCCCTCTGATTTGACCCACAATGCTTCTCGCAGCTGAGAAGCAGCGCCAAGCGTGACAAAAAGGAGCCGCAGAGCTCCTCCGTTTGTCCAATGGGACAGCAGCTCCATCCACAGCGCTGACGTGGAAATAGAGAAAGAGGGTAAAAGAGAGATGTAGAGATGGGGAGAGGGACAAGGGTGATGAGGTTCATAATGGCATTTGTGTTGTTGATGTTGTTCGAAAAGCAAAAAGTAAAAAGCAAGAAGCGGAGAGCAAGTAGCAAGTAAGTAGCAAGACGCGCATAGCAAAAGAGCAGCTGGAAGCCCGAACCCCTGCTCCAGGAACAAAAAAAGACAAGAACGCCATTCCCATATGCCGTCCCCAGCCGCCGTCCATGCACCACACTCGATCGATCCCCCCATTGCCCCTCCGGACAGTGTCTCTTCGCGGTCGTTGTGGCGTTTATCCAAGCCGGTAGCCACATACATAGCTAGGAAGAGGCGACCAAAGAAGGGGGGGGGGGATGGATGGATCGACAAAGGGAAAAGGAAAAGAGTAAGAAAATCCGCATCCACTACTCTCCACGAACAACAGCATTTTCGTGCCTAAGTGTGTATCTATCAACGCCCCCCAGTCATCCAGCTTCGTACAAAAAAGACGCAGTGAAGAGAACTTTTCTAAGGTGCATGCGCCTTTGGTAGTGGTGGTAGTAAAACAGAGCAAAAAGCACTCTCGAGGAAAGGATTCCCGCCTTCCATGGGCGAGAGGAGCGAGGGTGGAATTGGAGAGTCACACCGAGTCTGCTGCTCTATGAGAGGAGAGAGGGAGGTGGATATGTGGTAGGAGTTGTGTACGCCAAAAGTCTATACGCCATCGTCTTGACGCTGAAAATCATATGTGAATCGCAAAAAAGAATCTTCTGGAGTGGAGGAAGGCAAGAAACAACGAAAGGAGGACGCCGATCCGATGCAATTGACGCGAGGAAAGAAGATCGTAGATAAGGTAGTTGTTGATACACGACAGGGTCTAATGGTAGTCGAGGGGATACGTGTCGGGTTGAAGGGCGCCAAAATCGACTGGTGGAGCGGCGCTTAGAGCTGGCCAGGCTGCGGTCGAGGCTTGTAGTCCGGGAGGTACTCGAACCACTGCTCCTCGGGCTTGTAACGGTAAGCCTTGAACTCGACGCCGTACGGCTTGGGCTCCAGCATGTACAACATGCCGAGCGGGCAGTCAATGTCGGCAACCTCGGAACGGGCAAGACCGAGGAAATAGGCGAGCAGGACGCGAGCGACGGAGCGGTGGGTGATGAGCAGGGCGTGGTCAGTCATACGTTCCAGTTCCACAATGACTGGGCGCAGTCGGTTGATGACGTCAAGGTAACCCTCACCGCCAGGGCCGGGGTAGCGGTACTGCAGCTTGTCCTGACGCCGAAGATCGAATTCCTCGGTGTACTTTTCCCGGATTTGGTCGTAGGTCATGCCCTCCATCAAACCGGCATTGAGCTCGTCCAGCATGCGCATCTGCTTGAGGT